TCTTTGGCCTGCACAGTGTTGGCCAAGAATCTGAATTTAGCTGAAGTATCAGGTAACATCCTATTTCCCAGTCGGAAGATCTAGCAGCCCTGGGCCTGATTTCTGCATGGTTCTGATTGTCTAGAGCTGGGGCCCCCTTCAAAGGGGCCTGTGTTCTCTGGTTCACCACGATCTCTGCTATTCTCTAGTGCCCTTCTTTTGCCTGATCTGCATCATTCAGTGACAGAATCTGCCTGGTCTTTCTAAGGCATCTGCTATTTACCATTAGGAAGCTTCTACTGAAATACGAAGCAAAACTCATTTGGTTCAAAACCATGCAGCAGTAAACGCTTCTCGGGAACTTAAGTGCCAACAACAGAGAGCTTCCAAGAGAATGAAGATAAAGATTTGCACACTGCCTGGTCTCAGAGATGAGGCCATGCACTTCTTCCCCTAACTCTGTGCATTTCTAGTCCTCATATGTGCAGATACTAAAGCTCATTTGAAAGCAAAGTCTGAGTGACCCTCTGACCACCTCATAGGAGATGCCCAATGGGTGTACAACCATTCTGTCCCAGCTTTTTTTTTTTCATGTTATCTGCAAACTTGACTAATCAGTCTAGCTTCTGAATTACTAAAATCTTAGAAAGAAAAGGTGCTTTCTTGTTTTAACAGTGAGTGGGCTAGAAAACACTGTACAGCATTATGAAATGGTTTTGGCCAAGCTCCGAATTGTTTGTGCGGTTAATAAACTCCCCACATAGCATGCTTCCTTGTCTTCCGACTCTTGGGAATACAGTGACTTCCTGATCTCAGACTCGCGAGTCTGAATTCTTCACTTGCAAAATCAAGCACTTGCTCTGATAAGGAAAGTAAAGTTATTTAGTTAGTGCTGAGGACAAAGTTATTTTAAATGTCACTGATCACCTAAGAATCCTATCTTTGGGCTCACGTGCCATGATTTTAGAAATTTCCATCAAGTGATACTTGCTAGTTAAATGCAGCTTTGTGCTTCTGGTAGGCTGAGCAATAAGCTTGTCCTTGCAACAGAATCTTGTCATTTTTACACTAAAGAATGTACAAGTGTATTTCTCCCACTGCCAGTAAGCATATCTATTGACATTTTTAAGATTTAAAATATACTTGATGATTCTTAAAGTATCCCCCCCCCAAATACTTTGAAAACACACTGGTAATGATAAAAGGAGTAGCTGCTGCCATCTTGATTCTCTTGTAATAATCTTTCCATCGGATCTGCATTTCTACTCTTGCTGCAGAGGGTTAAGTGAAAGGATACGCATCGAAACACTTGCTTAAAAGAGGCATAGCCCTTTGGAGAGCAGGAATTGCTTGTAACATTAACACTTCCTGTCTGGTAAAATACTGTATTTTAAAAAATAAGCTACAATGTATAAAACCAAGGTCATTTCCCACAAAATGTTCATGTTCTTTGTGATTACAAAACACTGCATCTTGTAAAATATTTCCAGTTCTGTTAACTCGAGAAGTTAAGTACTAATGCTTATTATAAAAGTGTCACATCTCTCAGAACTGCAGAAGCCTAAGCAGTATATTTCTCGTCTTATTTGGAAAATTAAGTTATAATTATTGTATTTAAGATTACATTTTGACACAACACATTACCATTGTGATTCTCAGACTCACAAGAAAAGTTATATAAAACATGAGATTGTCTTCAAAAAAAAGGAACTATTTACAAAACAGGACCAGATGTAAAATTCCCATTTTGATTTCTGGCCCTGTGACAGATACACCTTTTAAAGCATGTATATCTCATTGGATCTGGGCTTTTTTCAAAGTCAGTCACCATAAGCAAACCAGTTGGCCTTAAATACCTTTTATACTTTCTTGCTTTATTGGTGCGCGTTACTTAGCGATACAGTTGGTACCTAAAAGTGCTAATCTCATTTTATTTACTGACTTCTGGTTTGACTGGTTACAATGCAAAAGACGTAAGGAAGTAGTTCCGATCTGGAGAAATCCCCACAGGTATGGGGAACGGGGAGAGCGTGTGTGCTGCTGGTTGGGTTATTTTCTTAGAGAAATGAGTTTTCCAGTTGACCCGTGTGCCCAGCGCATTCCCCAAAATGATCCATATTCATGAATCCTGCTCTGTTTCCCCTCATTTGTATGCACAAATTCTTCCCTGCGTTCATACAGGTCAAAGCTACAGTTGACATGGTCGAGAGAAATTCTACAGGGTCTTGTGAAAAAGCAGCACCTTGTCCACAAAAGTCCACGGAAGTTTGCTCCTTAACATGCTATTAAAGCAAAATGCACATTTATAACGCCCTTCACCTACAGAATTCTGCATGTAACTAACAACCAGTCATCCAACGGGCTAATTATAAAAAGGAACACCAAGGCGTCAGATTCATAATTACATTCAGAAACAGCCTTATATGAGTCTGTGAAAACCCACCAGGGACTGTGCTGTGGTTCAGATGCCAGCCTCAGAATGCAGGACTACGAAACAAAGACACAGCTCTGTTTCACAGAGCATTCGTCCACACCCCCAGAAGTCAGAACTGTCCAGTTCATGTCAATTTATCTTGAAATGATATCATGTTCATTAAAAAAACCCAAAAACCAAAAAAACTGTTCTGACTAGAAAAGATGCTGGAGACAATAAAAGCCTTTCTAGTCTTAGGATCCTCCAGATCTATTTTTTCACATACCCTTTAGTTTTCCCTGAGGAAATGATTTTTTTTTAACAGTATTTTGCTACTCTTGTCAAGGAATCCTCTCCCATATGTACAATTCTTGCCACTTTTCTCTAAACATTCCCAAGTGAATGCTGCGCTTTCCTTTTCCAGTGAAGTCTGATGAAGGCGGTAATGGGTTCCAGTAGTGACGGCTAATTCGGAACCCAGGGCTGCTTTCAGTGTGGCTTAGTGTGACACCAGCGACAGCCGACTTCAACTCAAGTGCTCTTGCAGTTTGATAGCCGGCATGTCTGTTTCAGAAATCTTGCAACATCCATGGAACTATTTCCTGTTGGAAAGCCCAAGAACTGTAACCCTCATCATTCCCTCTTGAAAGTTCGCATCTGCAACGCGGTTATGACTAGACAAGGAATCGTCTCATGAAGGGCACCCTCCCTGCTGGTGCTGGAGCTGCGGACAGGCATGCACATTCCTGCCCAGAAACCCACTGCCCTCTTCCTGACACTGGCTTTTGCCAAATGAGGGAGGAAACTTTTTAGCAAACAAGGCGGAGAGAAGTCCCACTCAAGATGTGCACGGCAGTCCTGCATCCCTGGGCAGAGCCGCTCCCCGTGAGGGAGCGCTCTCCTGGCTTCAGGCAGCTGCTCCCAGAGTGGGAACCTGCCAGCTCCCTCGGAGGTGCCCAGGGATGGTCACCATCGGCCAGTCAGCATGAGGGAGATGAGCCTGAGCCAGGCCTCCACAGTCCTCTGGTGTCTCTTCTCCGGCCCCCGACTCACTTGCTACGTGGGTACTTTACTTCCTCCAGGCGCTCACACTGCCCTCCTATAAATGGGATGGACATCCTCTTGGAAGAACTAAGGTTTAAATGACTGCCTGATGAGCTCTCTCTGCTGTGCAGCTATCTGGAGAATGCCTGTCCGTCACCAGGAAATGCCTTCTTTGGAGAGAGGTGAGACATCTTGTCTGAAGGGAAGGGTATCAGGGAGAGAAAAGTTAAAGGCTACAACATGCCTTCTTTAGAAAGACTTTGGGACCAGAACCCACTGCACCACCGTTCTTTTGCACAGACAGGTCTCTGAGATGCCCATGAGGGGCGGGGCTCCAGGTAAACAGCCACGTGCCCTGGGACCTTCCTTCCCACCCATCTCCCTCCTCCTCCTCCTCCTGCAGAAAAGAGACAGAAAAGAATGTGGTACCACAGAGAAGGCATTAAACAAATCTTGGGCTTAATTTGGCACTTCATTTAGTTCCAAAATATAACAAAATAGCTCTTTTTTTTTTTTAATTTTAGCGTTTACAATCAGTGCTGTATCTTGCAACTTGTAGCCTTCTGGGTGCCTTTCGAGAAGTTTCGTCCATTTTCTTCAAGGCCAGCCAGGGGAAGCTTGGTGGTCGCCTAGTCATTACATGCCTTGGTACAGGGTGCGGGGGTCTATATGCAGGAGGTACTGAGGGTCTGTGCCCACTTGGGAGCTAGAGAAGACAGCCCCGGGCTGACCAGCAGAAGGGGTCCCCGAGTGGTGGGGAGACGCAGAAGAGTGTACGTAAAGACGGTTTTAGAAAGGAGAAGAAATCCCAGGGAACTGGCATTCAGTTCTACACTTCTGCTTACACCTGTGCATTGGCTAATACCGAGGTAAGGACTGAGCTGGGCTCAGCCAGGCCAGAGCTCAGAACTAGTCATGGGCTGTACTTCTGGGGGCAAAGTCACAGAGCCCCCACAAAACCCTCACTCCAGGATTGCTCCACAGCAACCCTCTCTCCCCACTTCTGTCCCGAAGTCCAGGGGATGGGGGATAGACTGAGCACCTCATCACTTTAATCTCTCTCTCTCTCTTTCTTTTTTTTTTTAAATAAAAACCACCTTTATTTCTTTCTTTCCCTTAACGGAGGCACTGGGAATTGAACCCAGGACCTTGTGCACACCAAGCACATGTTCTACTGCTGAGCTGTACCCCCTTTGGATTAGTGACTTAATCCAAAGATCAAGGGCTAGGGAGCTTTGCTGAAGGAAAAAAAAACCCCTATACTCCAGGACTACACCCCAGCCATCATTGAAGCACATGGTGCTCCTGCTCAAATGGTTGACCAGCACTGGCTTCACTGCAGCCGCTGGGCAATCCAGCCCCAGCTCAGGGCCTCCTGGAATTCACGCAGAGGCGCCTGTGGGCAAAATGACAGGATGCCAGGCTGGGGTAGAGGATGCAACTATGTCTGAAAAAACCCTTTCCTGGCTCGCCTTGTCAGCACTGAGACATCCATTATAGCCGGTGCTGGGTGGCTGGTGATCAAGGTGCACTACAGCGCTTTCTCTGCTCCTTTTTTTTTTTAAATTAATGAAGGAGAAAACAGTATCTCTTACAAGGAAGAATGTTTAAAACATCATATGAGAGTTTAAAAAATAAAATTGCCAAAATATATGAATGCACAAATTCTAGATGTTACACCAAAGAGCCTCCTTCTATTCCCCTTGCTTATTTAAAAACAGGATATCTGTTACGACTAGATGACATCTTTCTACTCTTTAAAAAAAGTGTATGTACAATCTCTAAATATATTAAACTTTGCTCTGTGCAATTTCATTTAACATCCCTATGGCTGATTCTAGGCCCCCATCCCGACACAGTGCATCCTCTAAGGTGCTCTTACTTCTTTGCATAGGTACAGGAGGAGTAACTTTAGCAGGGCAATCAAGAGTAGGGTAGACGGAGAATGAGCTTATTTATAGGGCTTGGCAACTACTCCGCTGTCCCTGCACCACTGCCACCAAGACAAACAAACAATAAATGTACCAGGCTCGAAAGTCCGATTAAATGGAACACAGTGCAAGCCCTGGTCCTACTAAACTGAGAAGTTCCTATACCAACACGCATTTTCCTTTTGGTGTTCTGTATGTTCCCTTCCGAGCAAATTCTTAATGACTAGCTCCAATATTTTGATAAGAAAAATAAAGGTTTGGACCTTCCCTTTTCCCATATAATCTTTATATTGTCCATTAACCCATCTCCCAGACACGCTAAAGCATAAAACCTATATAAAAGTGCACTCAGAATGGATGCTGACCCCACGTGACTTTCCGAACAGACGGGGACGTGTAGGCAGGCTGTGCTCTGCTGCCTGAAGCCAACCTGCCGGAGAGTCTGGAGTTCTCTACCTTTTCTGAAACCAGTCAGCGGTGGCGTTTTGAGGGAGGGCCTGATGAGCCATTGACCTGGCAACAGCTGTCAGACGAGCGGCGATGAGCAGATCTGAGCTGTGGCTGGCATCGCATCGCATGAGGGAGCTTCAGGCTTTCCCAGATGGCGACGTGGGCCAGGTCCTGGCTGCGTTGTGACAGGGAGCGGATGAGCCCGGCTGCCTCTCGAGGAAGGGCTTCCGAGGACGACTCTCAGACGTTTCCCCTCAGTGACAGAGGCACGTCTTGGACTCAGCTGGGGCTGAAGTCTGCTGGTGATGTCCATTGTCAGTCTCTTTTTGAGCTTCTGCCATCCGGGGCCCTTCAAGCTAACAGCTCTACCATGGTTCCGTCTGGGGCCATTCTTCAAAACAAAACAAACAAACAAACCAAAAAGACATAGAAAAGATCACGATGTGTACTGCTCCCAGAAGTCCAGTGGAGAACAGGGAAAAGACTATTCACAACGAACGCAGGGATTGTTTTTTGTACAAACGCTACTGAATAATGTGTAGCCTCTTTTTTTAAGTGTCAAAAAAAAATCTCAGAAACGGCATTATTCAGAAAGCTTATCAAAATAGACCTTTCTAGGTCAAACGGGCTTGGTTGGTTTGATTGCTACACAAGTCCACAGTTTTCAGACCTAGACATACAGCCCCCCAAAAGGTGACTTTTCAAGGGAAAAAAATAGTTACAGCTGCTGTAGGCTGGATTCGCAGCAAAAACAGGGAGGGTAGTGACCTTTCATGGGTTTTCCTTTTTTCTTTTCTTTTTTTGCTGTAATTCCACCAAGGTTCCCAGAAGTGCTTTTCCTGGGCTTCAGGCGTGTTCTGTTCGGAAGGAAAAGCGCTTTCCGAGGCCCTGCGTGGAAGGCGAAGGCAGGAGCATCTCCGGCGGGCGCCGGCCGGGGCGGCGTCATCAGTCCGTGAACCTCTGGCAGGCCTTCTTCCAGCGGCAGGCCGTGCACCACATGTCCCGGTTCTCCATGCCGTACACCTTCCGGCACTTCTTGCCCTCTCCCCGGGGCTTCCTGGAAGACAGGTGAGGACAAGGGGTTCAGTGCGAGGAATCCAAGGGGCAGGCTCTGGAGGGCTCAAAAGAAAGATCTAGGGAAAAAAAATCAGGAAATGTAGTAGGAGGTCCCTCTAGGTTCAGTCTTTAACCTGTGCTGGGTGTTTTCACAGCCGCTGAACTATTAACATTTGCTCCTTGAAAGAAACTTGGTCTTCAGTAGTTTTTAGGCACACAGTTAGCACTCCGTACAAATCTGGTAATCAACTGAATGAACAGAGAAATTATCTAGCACCTAATAGGTATTCAAGAAATGTTAGTTTTTTTTTTTAATCTTATCAAGGAATGTTAGGGTTTTTTTTTTTAATGTTCATAGGGAAAAGGAAATGATCTGTAGGGAATGCCACTGTACCCCATGATAGAAGAACCAATGATGGAAACAGAGTCAAAAAAACAGGACGACAAAATAGTGGCATTAGAGCCAAAAAAGGAGACAGTCAGCTACTCCAAACACAGAGTATAGAGGACTCAGGACCGAGCAGAGGCTAAGAGACAAGAGCTGGGAACAGCACCGTGTTCTCCCAAAATGCACACACTGAAGCGCTGACCCCTTGTCCATTTGTGCACGTGTCCATCTGGGCAGCTTCGCAACACTGAATTTAAAAAGTGAATACAAGAAATACCAGTAGAGAGCATTACTCTTTCAAGTTTTAAAACATGTACTTTCAAATGCTCTCTTGCTTCTCGGATTTCTAGCATTCTGGTTCAGGGGATCCTGGGGAGGTTGTCCTTGATCTGGGTTAAAAACTATATCTTGTAGTTCATTTCACACAGAGGTTAATGCAACATGGCTTTAAAAGACCCAGTAGTCAGCATTACCTATTCCGCAAGAAAACTTACTACCGTTACCCTGAAAAAACAACAAATCTTCATTAATGGATGGGGAAAGCCATAAGAATGAAAGAAAATGTTTCATCCATTCCAGGGAAATTTTATGAAAGATTGTGTCTCTGGTTTCTTTTTTCCTCTCTGTCCTTCTGTTTTTTGGCTAATTCCCTAGAAATGAGGCGTGTGGAGTTTCAAGCAGTCATACCTTAGGCTGACCGTCCCTCTGGGCGGGGAGGACAAGACGGTGTGAGTGTGCTGTCTCTGCTCTCCAGTGCCCACCGGATGACTGTGGGTTGGGGACACCTGGTAAACACAAGGAAAACAGAGTTGACTGGGCAGGCTCTCCTCCTCATGCATCTCGTTCACCTCTGCCATGCAGGCAGTGGTACCTGACCCTTAGACACGGAGGTGAGGTACTTCCTTCACAGAGACCACATGTTAAAATGGATGGGGTGACGCTCACAGCAGAATTCAAACACATCCCCAACCTGGAAAGACCCAGCAACAATGAATACTTTACAAATCTCCATGACTTCACGTCTCTGCTTTCCAAGTTATCCATGGTAACACAGTTTCACTTGAGTAATATTTTAAGCCGTCAAGCATATATATTCCTATTCCAAGCCTCACTGATCTCTCTTTTAAAGAAGAAAAATATCTAGAGAGGTTAAGAGAATTGTCTCAAGTTAACAGCTAGTCAGTGGCAACACCCAGGGTGGGCCTCTGCCTTCTCAATTAGATCATCCATAGCCAAATAATAGATGGCTTCTTGCATGAGATGTCCACATGGCAGACTCTGGGGTCTGAACAGGGATAAAGGCAAGAAGCAAAGAGCCTGGACAGAATGAATGTCATCCTTTCAGTACTCACTATGTGCCAGGCTCTCTGACAACAGCTTTATTTTTCACACTACCCCATGTGATAAGTACTCTGGCCCCATTTTACAGATGAGGAAACTAAGCACAGGGAGGTTAATAACTTGCCCAAGGTCATGGAACATATGATGGCCAGGGCATGTGTTTAACCTCCCCTGGCCCCCTGCCTCTCAGGTCCCTCTCGTTCTCCATTCCTCTTGGATTTCTAACTTTTTAAAAAATTTTTAAAGCATTGAGAGAGAGTAGGGCTAGGTGAAGAACAGTTTTTGTAGTAAGCCTTCTTGTCTTTGTTCTGAAATAAAACAAAAGCCTTGGAAAACGGCAGCTTCCCCCGTCCCTTTACTTTTATTTATTTACTTTTTAAAGATAAAGCAGGTTGCATTTATTTTTTGGGGGGGAGGGTAATTAGGTTTATTTATTTATTTACTTTAATTGAGGTACTGGGGATTGAACCCAGGCTCTCGTGCGTGTTAAGCATGCATTCTACGACTGAGTTATACCCTCTCCTGACCTCACCTTTATTTTTAAATAGCAATGAACTGCTAATACGGTGTAAAACCACACAGATGGGGAATTCTGTAGTGAAAGGATAAATCAGAAGCTCACACAGGATTTTAAATGTGGGAAACCTAGTTAATGCAGCTACTCTACATACTTTCTGTCCAAAGCTGTAGTCTAGAACATCCCTGATAACCAACAGATAGTGAAATTATCTGTGAAAAGTCCAGGGGCTTGAGATGAGACCAGAGACCAGAGATGTCCACAGTGTCCACAGGGAGAAGCGCTTTAAAATTTAACTGTTGAAAACCAAACAATAGGAGGCATCGTGGCTGGCATCCTACCGTGTAAGACATTTAAGAACTTAGGAGGAACAGTAGCCAGTGCAAAAGCACTTGGAGTGATTCACTATACGACAGAAGGAAACGACGCAGTTAATAAAACAAAGGAGAAAACACTCCATTTTGGCTAGTCAGGTAATTTGAAAAGAAGTCTGAACTGGGCTGTTCCATCTACACATTATACTTGTTTTCACACCAGATGAGCAGTATGGGGTCTGCTCTTGAAAATCCTTCTCAAATCAAAGACAGGAATGAACAGAATTCAGAACAGCAGGTCTCCGCAATTCTGTAATTGTAGCTGCCTCTCTAGGTTACAAAGGTTGTCTCACATGTCATATTGAGAGCCACTCTGGGTCTCATTACGTCTATCAAAAAAACAGAAGGTCACCCAAAGGACTGACTGTTTACCTCCGACACCCACCTTGGGGAATCGTTGTTCTGCCACAAACAAAACGAACACCTACATGTCTAAATGGTTCTCCCTCTTTTTTTTTTCCATTTTTGTAAATTCCTTTAATAGATGTTTCCTTGAATATATACAATATAAACATCCCATCTAAGCAAAGCGCACCACAAGTGTATAAAGCAGCTATAATTTTAATACACATTTGCATATATTCTCTCATTTGACATTCTCTAAAATATAAAAGCCCATTGACTTCCGTATTATTAATTAGGCACCAGAACCCTACGAATATCATACATTCAGATTCTATGACTCCAAGCCCTTGGATATCGCTGTCATGCTGGCAGGATTTCTGGCCATTATAAAGAAAATTAAAATTAAGGAAAATCAATAAAGCTATGTCCTATGAGGGGTAAAATTCTTTTCAAATACTCATGCAAAATATTAAAAGATGAAGTAAAAACATGTTTTCACTTGTGTTTAAGTCTCTGAATTTTGATTATATTAAAATTTTTCTTTGACTTATTCCCTAATGATACTGCTAATCTCTAGTCTGTGAAGTAAGCTGTTCTCTTTTAATGTTTACTAACGAGGTCGCCCATTGTATTCTTGCTCTTTGAAAATGACCAGCAGTGACCACTGTCTGTGAAGCAGGCACCTTCCATAATTACTCCAGATCCATGATATTGTTTTTTTAAAAAAAATCCAATTCCAGGAGTATTTTCTGGAAGCCGCAAATTCCCAAATTGCCTGCCAGCAGGATACTCTTTCTTGCTGGCGTTCCTCTAGGGAATTTAATAAATATTCACTGACAGAACACAGCAAAATTGACTGAGCCACTTTCATTTTTATCAGCTCCACGGGAAGCCTTAGTATTGGCTGGAGACCTCTGGGAATCGCCAGCGGTTGCAGTAAGAAGCTTTTGTGAGGTCCTTAGGGAGAGGGGTGAAGAGGAGAAAATAAGGTTAATATCTATTATCATAAGCCCCTTTCTGAACCTTATCAGGAGTTATAAACCCGCCATGAGCATCGGCAGTGTGGGGTCTGTGGATATTCTGTGATAAGCTGTAAAAGACCCAATATCTTTTTAAATGAATAGTTAAGAATCAAGTAAATTCATGGTGCGTTTTCAGACACTAATCATTTAATATGTCAAATCGATATCCACTACTTAAACCCCACGGCATACTTCAGCACTCATTTATTTGCAAATCACCCATCAGCGTGGATTATTCAGGTTTGGAAGAAAAAAAGTGACTTCAGTTTCTATTATTTGAACCTTCAGAATGACATACCCACGAACAGTAATTTCAAAGCCAGATTCTTATCAAGTCACTCCTAATGATGAACGCTGCGGACAGGGTCTCTTTCTTTTACGTTCAGGGTCTGAGTTCAGCTATTAATTTTATCAAGCCTTTGAGAAACATACAAATACATCACCCACAAAAATCTCGGTCTATTTCCAACAAGTTGTAGATCAACAGCTGAAACTGTCTTTTAGTTTCTAAAATTCCAGTCAAGACACCTTTCTACAGAGAAGCTGAGCTTGTTTGGACCACGAGATCCCTTGCTGAGTTTACAAATATCACTTAAAAAAAAAAATCCTTCTGGCATTCTGATTTTTATCTTTTTCTACAATTAGTCCCCTACATTTACGTTTCTTTGCCCAGATTTCTGGCTTTTGGTTTTTCTACTTACTGGAATGCCTGTGAAGGTAACTGGAGGAGATTGCCAAGAAATGCTAAAGCTGCTGCTGTTGGGGGTGAACTTGGCGGACCCTGGAATGGTCACAGGGGGTGTGGCCTGTCAAACAGAAGACAAAGTCATTAGGAAAGAACATGTCTCCTTAGTCTTATGCTGTCATTACCCAGGCAGGGCCTCAGAAACGACCTCAGCTATATTAATAACTTAGACTGAATTCTAACAGGAGGAGATTAAACCCAGTCAAAGAAGAGTCCCTAGAGAGAAACTTTTTAGACATCCAAGCATTCTGAGAGGGAGAAAGCTTTGGACTGTCAATTTCTGAAAAGAAATTTGATTATACATCCATATACCTATTTTAGGATATCTGTGAGATACAATTCCTCGGGATCAAGTTGGGAAATAAACACTTTTTTAATATAGTGATGGTGGGCTGTAAATTACAGCACTTTGGGAGGGTAATCTGGCAGTACACATCCAAGTTCTTAGCGTAGTAGCTATTTCACTTCTAGAATTTATTCTAAAGAAATGGATACAAAGCTGTTCATTGCAGAACTATGTATTATACTAAAAAACCTGGACACAAATACCTGGAAATAGGGAAAAGGGTAAGTAAATGATGATATGCCCACAGAGCCACTAAAAATGATGTTGTTCAACATACAGAAATAGGTTCTCTATAGTAGGTTTTGCATAATAGAGAAAGCAGGTTAAATTTGCATTTAGAACAATCTCTTGTCAGTAAGATAAACTGTGGTCCGTGAGACCATTCAGCTTGGAGTCAGACAAGTTAAGTGCTAACTAATAATCTCTTTTTTAACTCATCAAAAAAAAATGATGCTGTTGAAGAATACTCATTGGCATGGGAAAATGTTCATGAGATATTAAGTGGGAAAAACAAAGCATAGTGAAAAAGAGTACTATGACAGATTCTTTTTAAAAAAAATGAGCATATTTACGCACCTAGAACAGTCTCGAAGGACATACCAAAATACTAACCAATGGGCTTTCTTGTTGTTGGGACTAGGGACAGGTTTTCTTTCTTTGCTTATGTTTTTAATATTTTTATGCTGAACATTTATAATGCCTATAACAGAAATATCCCAGGATTCTGAATATATCATTCGGGAAGAAACTTCTAGATGACTCAATGTGTGTTCCACCTCTCATTACATTGATAAGCAGAATAATTCAATTCAGTTGGGTCAAGCCCATGATCTTGGACCTAAATGCAACACTGACAAACAAGAACAAGTTACTCTGTTTGACCAGCACAGGAAGAGTCAGGAATGAAATTTATTGCATCAACTAATTTAATAATTAGCTCTATTCCATGGCTCTTGAGTTGAAGTCCAGTAAATAAATGGCTGAATTCTTCCTCTACAAGTTTAGGTTTTCTACTTATAAATATAGTTGTTAGTGACACTGGTTTTTTAACTGGCTACCACTGGAAAATATTTTGGTAATACACAGCTGTTCATGTTCTATCCTATGACTCAACAGTTACTCTCCTGGGAATTCAAAGAAAAAAAAAAACTGCCAGTGGCACAGAGGTATCCTAGTAGAGTTACTAATGATAATTAAAAAGCTGGACGGACTAAAAAGCAGACATTTAACAATAAGAGAATGATTAAAACCATTTGATGTTTTGATTCATTTGAATTCAGTTACATGGAAAGTGCTTATAAAGCAAGGATGGGAGAACAATTGCAAATACATAAGATTTTTCTTTTAAAAAGTTACATAGGGTAGTTGAGAATTATGGGGAAAAATATTTTCTTAAGATTTGAATGTATGGAAATTTTATTTAACTCAACACTTAAAAGAGTTAATCATTTCTGGGGGAAAAGGATCTTCAGCCATGTCCTGTGGGAGCAGGACTTGTCTCTAAGGTCTTCCCAGACTTCAGAGTGAAGCAAAATCCCCTGGAGGGTCCATTAAACACAGACTGCTCGGCCCCACCTCTAGCTTCTAGTCTGGGGCAGACCCAGGAAATGCACAGTTGTAACGAGTTCCTAAGTAATGCTAACTTGGTTGATTTGGGGAACACTGACAACCACGGCTCTAGTCTGAGTTAGCTACCAGTTTAGAAGATAGGGCATGGAGTTCCAGATTTGGGGTGCAGGACTAAGCTGTCATTGTGCCATTGCTTTTCAGTGCTCACCTTTTCATTCATTTTACTTTTTATTTAGCAGGTACTTATATCACCGTGCCAGGCACCCTTCTGAGGGTTTTACAATATTAAGGGTGTTAATCCTCATAACAACCTCTCAGGGATCAGAACTTCAGTCAGTACTGGGGAGTCCAAGAACCCACAGGTTCTGTGTGAGATCTTGGCTTTAAAAGGAGAAAAAGAAAAAGCCAACTCTGCTACTGGGCTACCTCGGATGCAGTTTACCACTGGGTTATCCTTCACTCACAGGTCAGAATGCTACTGCTTTTGGTCAGGAGGCAAAGTGATCACTCTCATGGCCTTGCCAGTCACCTGGTAAGCGTGGTCGGTGTGCACGAGGTAGAGCGTGGTGGGAGCGGAGCGGCTCAACGGTGTCATCAATTTTGTCTCAGTTTTGGCACAAGGAGCTTCTGTTCGGCTTGAATCTGGGATGGGGAAAGTGGGAGGCGAAGCCAGGGACTGGGAGGGCGAAACCGGGGCCAGGCTGCTCAGTCCGTCTGCCACCGAGTCCGTGTTGAGCTTGATCTCAGTGTAGTAAAAGTCTTCCTCTCCATCGCTGTAGTCAGAGTCCCCAACACGCCTAATGCAAAAGAGAGCAAAACTCCTACTAACCCAAGCCATTTTCTTCCCTTGAATTCTTGTGCGTGCTGTTCCTTCTGTCGGGAATTCTCTTCCTCTGTCCTGTCTGCCTGGCAAACTCTCACTTAGCCTGCAACACTCAACTGCCCCCTTCAGGGAAGCCTTCCTTAACCTCTTAAAGCAATTTCTTCATCAATCAATTATTCAAAAATGATTTATTGAGAGCCTACTGGACAGGCACTTTTTTTTTTAGTGTCTCCTAATATTATAGTGAACAAAACATAAAGAGACTCTGCCCTGATGGAACATATAGTCTAGTGGGAGAGGCAGACAAGAAGCTCACAATGGAATGCATCAAAAACAGTGAATACCTAGGAATAAACTTACCTAAGAAAACTATAAGACACCGATGGAAGAAACTGAAGATGACACAAACAGATGGAAAGATACACCGTGTTCCTTCATTAGAAGAATTAATATTTTTTAAATGACCATACGACCCAAGGCAATCTACAGATTCAATGCAATTCCTATCAAATTACCAATGGCATTTTTCACTGAACTAGAACAAATCATTTTAAAATTTGTATGAAAACACAAAAGATCCCAGATAGCCGAAGCAATCTTGAGAAAGAACAGAGCTGGAGAAATCGGCCCTTGACTTCAGACTATACTACAATGCTACAGTAATCAACGCAGTATGGAGCTGGCACGGAAACCGACACATAGGTCAATGGAACAAAACAGAGAGCCCAGAAGCAGACCCACGGCACTTACGGTCAGTTAATCTACAGCAAAGGAGGCAAGAATAGATAACGGAGAAAAAGACAGCCTTTTAAATAAGTGGTGCTGGGAAAACTGGACAGCCACACGTACAGGAATGAAACGGGAACATTCTCTAACATCATATACAAAAATAAACTCAAAATGGGTTAAAGATCTAAATGTAAGATATGATACCATAAAATACTCCTAGAGGAAAACGTAGGCAAACACTCTGACATAAATTGTAGCAATATTTTTTTTGGATCCATCTCCTACAGCAAAGGAAATAAAAGCAAAAATAAACCAAGGGGACATAATTAAACTTAAAAGCTTTTGCACAACAAAGGAAACTATCGACAAAATGAAAAATCTACTGAATGGGAGAAAATATTTGCAAATGATATGACTGATAATAGGTTACTACCCAGAATATATAAGTAGCTCATTAACTCAACATTAAAAAAAACAAAAAACAAAAAACCCAAACAACTCTATTAAAAAATGGGCAGAAGAACTGAAGAGACATTTTCCCAAAGAGGATATGCAGATGGCCAACAGGCACATTAAAAGACGTTCAACATTGCTAATCATCCGGGAAATGTAAATTAAAAGCACAGGGAGGTATCACCTCACACCTGTCAGAATAGCAATCATCGAGAAGAACACAAATAACAAATATTGGAGGGGATGTGGAGAAAAGGGAACCCTTGTACACTGTTGGTGGGAACGTAAATTGGTGCAGTCACTGTGGAAAACAGTATGGAGGTTTTTTAAAAACTAAAACTAGGACTACCATATGGCGCAGCAATTCCACTCCTGGGTGTATACCCTAAAACCCCCAAAATACTAATGAAAAAAAATACATGCACCCCAATGTCATAGCAGCATTATTTACAGTTGCCAAGGTATGGAAGCAACCTAAGTGTCCATCAACAGATAAATGGATAAAGATGTGGTGTACACACACACACACACACACACACACACACACAATGGAATACTACATAAAAAAAGAATGAACTTTTGCTATTTGCAGCAACATGGATGAACTTGGAGGGCCAGTGAAATAAGTCAGAGAAAAACAAATACGTATGATATGGCGTATATGTGGAATCTAAAAAATACAACAAGCTAGTGAATATAATGAAAAAGAAACAGACTCACAGAGACCAAGAACAGGCTAGTGGTTATCAGTAAGGAGAGGGATGGAAGTAGGGACAATATAGAGGTAGGGAATTAAGAGGTACAAACTACTACGTATAAATAAATAGGCCAAAAGGGTATGTTGTACAATATAGGGAACACAGCCACATATTTTATAATGACTACAAATGGAACTTAACCTTAAAAATTGTGAATCACTATATTGTAACCTGTAACTTATATAATATTATACATCAACTGTAACTCAATTAAAAAAAAGAAACCCATAAGGAAATAGATATTTAATACATCAAGTAGTGATAAATCCCAGAGAGAAAAATTAAGCAGCATTAAGAGTGTCCTTAAGCAGGGCATGTGATGGGAGGCATTCTTTTAAGTAGAGTGTTTAGACAAAGGTTCTCTGAGGAGGTGACATTTGAGCAGAAGTTTGAACGAGCTGAGGGAGAAACCCACGCGGGCACCGTGGGACGAACGTGCAGTGCCCTGGGGTGGGCTGGCACTTTCCAAGAAGGGCAGAGAGGCTGGGGGCAGGCGCTCAGGGCACCAGCCAGAGAGTGGCGGGAGGAGAGTGGGGCTGAAGGCAGAGGCAAGATCGCACAGGGCTTGTAGCTCTCGGGAAAGACTGGATTTTGTTCCGAATGTGATGGAAGCCTCTGGGGATACTGAGGAACCTAAGCAACTTTTTCAAAGTTACTATCGCCTGGAGAACAGAGGACATGAGGGCGAGAGGAGGAGCAGGAGGCTGCAAGGAGGCTGCTGAGCGGCTGACAGTGGCTGGATGAAGGGTGGGCGTGGAAGTGACAGAGTTGTCAAACTGGGGACTTGATTTTAAAGGTTAGGCACTGGGACTTAACCCCGAATGTCACATCCACTGAGCTCCCTTTGAGGTGCGTTCATTTTATTTAGTTCACTTTATTTCATTACTTGGTGCCTGTCTGTAATGTTTTCTTAAACCTCTGTGGCCTCCCTAAGACTGGTTCTCTAGGGCTATGTTTTGTTCATCCCTTGTGTCATGCCACACGTGGTGCATCTGGCATAGAGTAGGTGCCTATTAAACGTTAAATGAGTGAATAAAGCTGACGTTGTTGGAACACAGTGATTACCAGCCTGGATCCTGGGGTCAGATTTTCTGATTCAAATCCCGACACCTTTGAGCTGTGTGTGTGATTTTGGCAGCCTACACCCTCGTATAAAATGGCATAGCACAGCGCCCCCCCATCCCTTACCCTCAGGTTCCACATCTGCAGATGTGGAGTGCCTACTGTATACAGAGCTTAGAAATGCACCACACACGGTGCATTTCTCAAATAAGGCTGATATTAGAAGACCTCAGATTTTAGCATCATCAGGAAAACTACCTTCTGGTGCTTTCACAGTTCTCCCTGAGACATGAGCAAAACAGTTATTGTATTTTATGCAAAACTTTCTGTGGAAAAATACAGTCAAATAAAAGATGACATTGATTCACTCTGTTAATTTCTAGCGAAATCATGCACATCTAGCCACCTGCCTTTATGGGATGGCCTCTGGACCTCTCCCTTCCACGGGGCAGCCCCAGATTTCATGACCATGTCCGGCAGGAGCAGGGTACTGACTTGGAATAACTTTTTCCCCCACTTACAATCCCTGTGTAGAAAACTGAGGATTCAGATCTCCGCTTCTCCTTGGCCTTTCTGTTCAGCCAGATGGGCGGCTTCTCCCAGCCTGGGTCCGCTTCCCCTGGGCTCTCGGGCTGAGGTATCTGGGGAGGTGTCTGTCCCGTATCAGGTCAGCTGGGCTTGGCTTTCTTACAAGCATGCCACCGAGGACCTCAGAGAGCGGGCTGAAGAACGCATGTCTGCTCTATTCCTGTCCCCACTTCCTTTCCAGCACGGGGCAGGCCGGGTTGCTACTGGCTGCCGAGGATTACTAACACACAGGCCTGGGGGGAGTTGTGCGCCCTACATGGGGGCGAGTCAGAATCGGCCCCCGGTGCACAAGAATAGAGTGAGATTTAAGAGAAAGACGGTGTACTTTTTGCGCTGGCATGGTTCACACTGCAGCTGTGTAAGATGCGGGATGCGTATCTTGGGGCTTTGGTGTGCTCCCCCCCTCCTCCATCCGCCGACGGTCACATAACTGAGCTCATGGATCCAGGCAAAGCTGGTTTCCCTCTCCCAGCAGAAAAGAGCTGAGGCCGCAGGCTTCTATGCACACACCCCAGCCTTGCAGTCCTGCTCGTCCAGGCCCATTCCCGGGCAGTGGCTGGCAGGGCTGTGACTCCTAGTTCACCAAGGCACTTTGAAGCGCACAGAGTGAAAAGGGAATTTTAGGGAAGCGAATACAGCGGCTGCATTTGGAATTTCACCCACCATGAGAGCACCCAGGGAGCAAAAAGGAAAATGGTGTGAATGCCACTTATAGGCTACAAATACGTCAATGCAGCACGTGTTTCCGCAAGGTGAGGAATAGGATTTGATTTTTCTGGGCAGATGGACTTTAAAACAAACCCCGTAGCTCCTGATTATAGCTTCGGGAAGTTCTTTCTAAACCTTTAAGTAACTCTGAGCTACTGACAATGGGAGCTGTCCTGACAGTGAAGTTTGAGGGGAGACACTGCAGGATTTCCTGCCCCAAAGGCTTTAGGAACAGAAGCGCGTTGCACCCGTCAGTGTTTCCTGTGTGGTGTTTCTTGGAGGATGAGGTGGACCCTCTGGCCAGGGAGGAGGAGGCCCGCTTTGCTGGGCCACACCCACAGCGCTTGGTGAATTTCCATGTGCTGCGCCCTGGAATGGTCAGGCTGTGTCCCCAGCATCCCAGACCTTCAGGTTAGAGAGCTAGAGCTCTGCTTCTCTCCAGGCCCTGAAGGAGACCCCCGCACGAATCAGCAAAATCACCTTAGGACCGGTTTTTGTTTTCTTTTCATACCACTTTTTTTTATGGACGATGCATTTCCTAAATTTATCCCTTGCTGGCCAAAGTGACTGCAGTGTTTATTTCTCAACACTCATCTTGTTGAAAGAACTCCTCTGTGTCCAAGTGTCTGGGAGCTTGATCATGTGTTTGGGTTCACCTTATGCACACTGGCGATGACTTACAGCTTCTCAAGGTCCCTTCTAAGTCCCAGAACCCGGGACAAGAGAGACCCAGAGCCTAAAGGACAAGGCTGAACCACCACTGCCCCCCAGTTGCTCAAAACTGACTTTAATCTTTCCTTAGAAAGGTTTTTCTATAACACAAGGAGAAGTGTCAGTGGTACAAACGAAAGGCTTATTTGAGCAACAGAAACTGAGAGAGCAGGTCATCAGACATCAGAGGAACCGCAGCAGGAGCGCTGATGGACCCCGTGGCTCCTAAACCCTTTTCAGGCTGCACCTCAAAGCCATGACTGCTCTCTATCAGGAGAAAGGCGCACATTCCCTTTGACAGACAACTTTGGGGGTCCAAGGATCCCCTACCCTAAGTGTTTCATCTCTTACAAGTCACTGTCATATACATTTTATTTTTGACCCTTACACATGACCCTGCAGGAATGATACCATTAGCTTCATTTTCAGGGGGAACTGAGAGGCTCAGAGCAGTGACTCCCTTAATCTCACTTTGTAAGTTTATCAGGAAGGCTTTACAACTTCAAGTCCACGTTCTTCCCACTTGCCATACTGGCCTCTGTCATCTGTGGTGGCCACATCCACAGTGATAAGGCAGACCAGGCAAGCCCAGCCCCTATTCCTGTGTTCAGACTTTTTAAGGCACAGGGTGGAGAGTCAGCCTGAGTGCAGGTGGTCCTGGACTGAACTGACGGCGGCTACACCAGGCTCTGAAGGCAGGGCTGCCTTACCCAAGGTGAATGGTCCGGATGTGTTTCTGGATACCCGCTGCAGTGCTCAGCACCTTCCCGCAGTTCTTCCAGAGGCATTTGAACATCACCTTCATGGAGTTCTGTAAAGGGGAGAAAGTGAGATGAAAACTAGCCCAGCAATTTTTTTCTGTCGTCCCAAAGTACTTTTTGCCTTCATTAGATAAGTAACAGGTTCCCATTCTCTTGACTGCAACTCAGTACGCCATTCTAGGAAACCCTCTATCTGGCGGGGACTGTGGTGACCTCAGATGTTTTCCTACATCCTTCCTGAGTACTGAGACCTGCAGGAGCATTTAGTTCACTGTCATTAAGGTGGTCACAAGGTCAGTTAGGTGTTAATGGCAGTATCTAACGTTCACGGAGCGCTCGGCACATGCCAGGTGCTATGCTAAGAGTTTATCTCACTGAATCCTAAAAGATGAATCATTATTATCATCACATTTTACAGATTCATGGAAAGCTTCAGTACAACATGCCCAGTCAGTGAGCCAGCTTCTAGCAAAGCTGGGGAGGAATCTGGGGAGTCCGGCTCCGGGAACCACCCTCTCCACCAGGACACAATTCCACCTTCTTCCACAAGGATCTCAGCTGTTACCATGATTGCCACCTCATTATCTTAACTGGCTATAAATTTAGTTTTCAGTGGTGGTCACGGTGAGGGTTGAATTAGACAGTCTTCTCTTCACTCTGCATAGGACTTTTTCTTCCAACCCTGTGTACTCTGCCCAGGTAGCTACTTGAGGGAGGTCTAAGTTCACCAGAAGAGAATGGAAAATCTGCCGCAGGAAAAATGACTGTCTCATTTATAATGACTCAGGTCATTAGCATAAGCAACTGGAAGGCCTTTTTTTACACTCTGGGTTTATGGCTAAAGTTCTTGTTGATTTGCAAGGTGGCTGCACACGTGGGCCCAGAAATGTAATTACACCCAGCGGGGAGACCAGAAACCGTGCTTAAGGATGAGCATTTCCAAACCCCCTCACAGAGGGGAGGCTCGCTTTCTCCTCTTCCTCTTCTTCTTCTTCTTTTTTAAAAGATTTATTTTTAAAAATCTTATTTTATTTATTTAAAAAAATGTGAGGGTGGTGGATTAGATTTATTTATTTATTTTATTATTATTTTTTTAAACGGAGGTACTGGGGACTGAACCCAGGACCTCGTGCAGGCTAAGCAAGCGCTCTACCACTGAGCTACACCCTCCTCCCTACCTCATCTTTTTGAACAAGACATCTCACATTTACTTCCTTTGAATAACACATCTTGCGTTTATTACCCCATCACCCCAAACTGTCAGAGCTCTGGTCCCATAATCTACTCACGCCCAGTATGTGCCATCTCTAAATCTGGGGGAAATGCAGATGACAAGCTTTGGAAATACCTGTAATTTTGACCCAGTTCAACTTTCAGGGATCTAACCTAAGCAAATCATTCAAAACGTCTGCAAAGATCTGTGTATAAAGGTATTAACCACACTGACATTTCGACTAGTGAAAAATCAGAAATAATCTCAAGGCTGACGGTGGAGGGGGGATTGGTTACACTAATTCCATGTAACTGTATATAATCTTAAAAATGAAGTTGAGAAAAGCTCTGACGTGAAGAAACAAGCTCCCAGGCTAGGAAGGGAGCTGCTGATACTTCTCATTTGCCCTGCAGGTTTCTCGCTGCTCCCTTCCCCACCCTGCTCAGTGCCCTGGAGGCTGACCTTTATGTATCAAGGGGGCCCCTCACTGGCTCCTGGGTGGTGCTGGCCAGTGGGAGGACAGGGAGGAGGAGAGACTGGAAGGCAGCAGGGTGTGGATTCTCTCAGCATCCTTTCTGCCTGGCCACGGGTGGGCAGCGGCTACATTTCTCCTCCAAAAGTTTCTACCTCTACTGGTTATTTCCAAAGTGTTAGTCACCCTCTGGGTTCTGGAAACCTCTCTTTACTTGCCTCTTCAGGCTTCGGGAGGGAGTAATACTGTTTGCCCCTGGGGTACTGAACCACCCCTTCTGATGTCCCCAACCCTATTCATACCTTTTTAAAGAGCCTCTCTATTGGACTTCTCAATTACCCCATTTGAGTACCACCAGTTTCCTTGAGGACCTTGACTGAAATGGCGGGAAAGTAGGTTATACAAGAATATAAACAACATTATATATTTGGGGATGGGTAGGTAAAACAAATAAAAATGTATTATTGCATAGTGGAAATACCAGCAAAGGGTATCTTATTTTGACATTAATTTCCAAATGTAAAAATTACCCTATTTTATTTGATTTGTTTATTTTTTATCATACAGATTTTTTTTCCCCTAGAGGCCCTCGAAGTGTTATGCCTCTTTTTGCTTGTTTGTTTGTGTTGCTGTTTTTTTTTTTTAGGGGGGAAGTAATTAAATCTATTTATTCATTTAATTTATTTTTTTAGCGGAGGTACTGGGGATTGAACCCAGGACTCTTGCATGCTAAGCACTCGCTCTACCACTGAGCTATACCCTCCCCCCACAAATTACCCTATTTTAAATGAAAAACAGAAGCCACCCTATGATACCTGCTTGACTAATTTTGGAGAAAAAAGCTTACTAGCATGGCCATCTCAACTGTAATGAAATCAAGAGACTTCCTCACCTAGGAGAAGGGCGGTTTCGTTTTGAAGTGGGGGTACCGGGAATTGAACCTAGGACCTCGTGCGTGCTAAGCACACCCTCTACCACTGAGCTATACCCTCCCCTGGTGAAGGACGTCCTTGTGTCAAACCATGAGGCCCCTTAAATGGTGGTTAAGTACTTTTCAAGATCTGCTAACTACATCCCATGGAGACAAATCCTTTGTCTACAGACTACTCACTGTTATGCTAAAGGACAGCCAGCCATGGAAGGAGGAGAATAGGAAAAAATAGCCAAATCAACAGCGCCCAGATTGCCACATGGGTCTAAGCTCGCCCAAGGAAGCCCAAACCAAGCAGAGCTGCTGGCAGAGTCCCGGCTGCCAAGCCTGAACTTCAGCCCATCTGTGCTTCCGCCCTGGCTCCCCGCCGCAGCCCGAACAGATGCTCACAAGGCTGGAGTGTCCGAGGCAGAGGGAGGCCACTGTCAGCTGGAAGCCACAGTGTGCTAGGGTCTTCCGCACATCTGCCTTAGGTAGCTGAAGCCCCTGGCGGTTACAAGCAGGATTCATGGAATCTACACGTGCCCAACGTGACATTCGCAGCAGCTCCCAGAAAAGCTCTCCAGAGTTACCCAACTTTGGTGCTGTGGGCTACGACAGTTGGAGAGAACTTCCTGGAGGGTCTCCCCCTTGCAGAAACATCCAGAATGTCTCCAACATTAACTGCTCTGGGGCTATAGGCTGAGATCTTTGGCCAAGGCTTCCGTCATCTCTCTGCTTTCCTTTCCATGGCGAGCTTCCGTGCTGGCTTGGAATTGTTTCATAGTTAAGAGTATGTGGAGTAGCTTCTGTTTTCCTGCTCGAATCCAGACTGGTACACAGCACTGCTGATGGTCACCTTCAGTTCCAAGAGTGAAAACACGGCTGGATTTTGAAGTTTTATGTAACACACCCAGGAATAAGTTCAATTAAAGCTACGTTCCAGAGGGTCTGTGAGCATCACATATCCAGTTTACCTTACAGCAGCCTGGGGTTAATGTCAAGCCACCTTTTCTGAGGCAGTTGAGAAGTTCCTCAGGTGTGCTTTAGTTGGGATTGGGGTGTGTGTGTGTGTGTGTGTGTGTGTGTGTGTTGGGATGGGGGGATGGACGCTCACATATCAAGCTCCCCAGAGAGGAGAGGGACCAATTATTCTGCACAGACAATGGTGCTGCATTACACATGCTCCCTCAGCCTGCCTCGTGGGAACCCACACCTCTTAGCAGAGACTCCAATGTCTCTTTCAGTATCAGGAAGTCCACTCAGACCCTCAGACGGTTCCAAAAGACCAAGAAGTGGTGTCTTAAAAAAACAATCAGTCACTGCTTAGAAGGTACAGGGGTTCCAGTTCTCTCCTTTACTGGGAAGGCAGCCTTACACATGTCACTTCACCACTTTGGGGCTTTATTTCTTTATTTGTAAAATAGGAGGACCGAACAAGGTGAGCGATTTTGGATCCGTGAGGCATGTGGGGTTAACACAAAGTGATAGGTAAATTCAAATGTATACCAAGCAGGGATTAAACACCTCCCACCTAGATGTGCTGTGTATAGATGCTGTGGTAATAAATACAACTTAAAAATAACAAAAAGATATTTTTGTAAATGAAATAATACAAAATGAATTCTTTTGTGTCTGGCTCCTACACCTCAGTGTAATGCTTTTGAGATTTGTCCGTTGTCTCGTACAGCAGTCATTTGTTCTCTTTTATTGTGGTATAATATTCCACGGTATGAATGTGCCACAATTTGTTTATCCATTTACCTGTTTGCAGAGATCTGGACTGTTTCCAGTTTGGGGTGACAATGAATTAAACTGCTATGAACATGTGTCTGCAAGTGTTTTGCGGGCATGGTTTCATATCTCTTAGGTAAATACCTAAGAGTGGAATTACTGGGTCACATGGTAAGTATATATTTAACTTTATAAGAAACTGCCAAACTGCTTTACAAAGTGGTTCTACCATTCTGCATTCCCAAGAGCAATGAATGAGAGTTCCTGTTGCCAACACTTGGTATTCTGTACACCAAAAAGTGCACACTGTGGGGGTGGGGGCAGGTACGGCTCGGCGGTAGAGTGCGTGCTTAGCATGCACGAGGTCCTGAGTTCAATCCCCAGTACCTCCATTAATAAAAAGTGCACACTGTATGATCCCAGGACAGTGGCTGCCTGTCCGGGGTGGAGGGCGGCATCCGACCACAGAGAACACAAGGAGTGCTGGCCTGGATCTGCGTGGTGGTGACTCAGGTGGAGATATTAGTCAAAACTCACTGAACTATACATTGAAAATGGATTCAGTTCGTTGTGTGGAAATGATACCTAACTGTAGAGTAGATTTCAAATGATTCCTAAAACAACAACAAAAGCGTTCCTGAATTAATAGAATCCCTCGTCATTACATATTGGCTCAATCAGTGAATTCTAAAAGGGCATCTCATCTTTGGGGACAAGTGTA